CAGAAATTGCCTGGGAAGTAAAACATTACCTGTGTAGAAGCAATTCATGTGTTGGATTTAATTCTGCTGATTTTCTAATTTTACTGATTCCAGTAATATTTAATTCTAGTGGACAAGTATCTAGAATCCAAGATTCTGTCAAATAACAGAGTAAAAAGGTTGGAGAGGGAACACATGTATTCCAGTGCTCAAAGATCAGTCAATCTATTCAGCATGAATCTGTCAGTCCTCTATCCAGTGCCATACATGGAAAAAGGAGAGAAATGATGATCAGGAAGTTGCTGTTCACAGAAAACATCAGGTACTTTAAAATGTAATTCTTATCATAAGTGGAAGTTCAGTCTGACACCTAATTCATGAACTGCTCAGGGCAGAAAGTGGTCACTTTGTCACATCTTGTGTACTAACACAGAGTATTCTGGCCTCTCATTAGGCCACGTGTACTTCCTGTATATATTAAAAAGCTGTATTTTGTGACTTATTTTACTTTTAGCAAAAATTCCTGCCTGCTCACTCAGTGTACTAACAATTACAAGTAGAGATGATCGTGTTTTAAAGAGCAGAACATAACCAAACCAGTTACACACAAAGTGATGCCTCCCCAACCCCTCCATCTTTCCAGCTTTAGCTGCAGTCAGCCCCTCAGTCAGCCCCACATCAACTGAGCCATTTCAGATCCATGAGGGTAATCCATTTCAAAAACTAGAAGAAAATAAATCTCTCTTCTCATGATTATGACGTGCCACAAGGAACACACGAAATGAAGCACAGGAACACGTTTTCTCTGGATCTCAGGGAACGGATCCTTTCCCACTGCACAGCAATATTTTGTGCCCCACCGGAAATTAGATATGCACTGATCTGAGCACATTTCAGCTGCTCACCACAGCTCACCCTGACATTTCATAAATACTGGGTAATTCAAGATGCAACAGCCATTTCCCTCTCCAGCAGCTGATTTCTCCCTTGTAAACAGCAGCTACAAGGACGCCTCTAAACACACCAGAAAAACCAGCTTAAAAGCACTTAAAAGAAAGCAAACCTTTCCAATCAAATATCCATCAAAGGATTGTCTTATTTTTAAAAGCTAGAATACTGAAATGGTGTTCTAGTCTTCAAGAAAATAAAGCACTCATCACTGGCACGACTCAACCACTGTGGGCAACGTTCAAAACACAGGAGCTGACAATCCCTGCTTATTGTAACTGCCAAGATTTGCTTCTCTGCTTCCTCCAGTATTAGACTTGTCTGTCTTTGCTCTGTGTCCTCCAACAGGACTGTGAATCCAAACACCAAGCTAGGCATCTTTGAGGAGTTCTCTTTTGGAAAAGAGGGAAGGGACCGGAATAAAGTGGTCTGTGTTTCCTACTTTACTAAGCTTGTTACATCAATCTGAAAGGCAAGGTATGGAATTTCTACAGTTGTCAATAATAACTCTTAAACCTCATGTTTGTAAAAAAAAAGAAAAAAAAGGTGGTTCCCTTTCTACTTGCAATAAACATAAGACAAATCTAAAAATGTGGCAAGTCTTACTGAAATACAAGCATATCACAAAAATAAACACCTATTAACAGTAATAAAAGAAACAGCCATAACAATATGAATTTAAAGTTACTTTAGTACTGGGAATAACAGTGCTACAACAGAGACTCGATACTAAGATGACAAATAAGAAGTATTTATTACAGGTACATAGAAAAACACTTCACTATCACCAGTGTGGCTCACAGCGATCTGGAACTCAGAATTATTTTGATAGAAAAAGCTTCTTGCAATGCTCATCCAATTAAATAAGAAATTTTGAAACAATACCTACAGAGCAGGTGACTTCATTCTAACCTAAAAAACCAGCCCTGGAAGGCACTTGAAGGGTCCTGATGCTGGGTCCCAGGTGCCATTTGCTGTGAAGCAACAACCTGATTTCCATGACAGAGACTTAAATGGAGAGAGATCAAAGAGAGGGGACAGGCACAGCTCTGCCCAGCTGCTCACTGCCATTCCTTTTCCCAGGACAAAGGTTTGTCTCTCTGTAACAGGCAAACCTGTCATTTCTTGCTGACAGAATTCACCATCTTGTCCACAGCAATTACAACCACCTATTTAGACTGCAGTTCATCCATCCCTTCAGTAGCTTAAAGAAGGATGTGGTTTTTCAGTTCTAGACTAGACTCTGCTAGAATGAGCTGGCAGGCAGCTGCTGGACATAGAAATGTGCCAGTAATCAGCAGCAGATTTGAGGGCAGCTCTGACATCCTGTTTTCCTCCCAACTAACTCTTCCATTAATTCCCCACATCAAAGATCTGTAGGTATAAGAGCTTTCCACCTGAGTGCATTTCACACTAAAGCATCTAAAGGAGTCTGTAGGAAGTGGCTGTGATCTGACTCCTGCAAACTAAATTACAGCAATAAAATAGTCTTCCCCACACTTTTATCTGCAAGGATCCTGCAGCTCTTATTTGTAACAGCCTTATCACACGGCAGGAGCAGCTGATACCACAGTGAAAAGGGCCAGAAGATTTCTCCAGCTTCAGTTCCAAACCCAACATACAGTGTGTTGCACTTGCTCCATTGTCCTTTACAACGAAACATAAAAGCAAACAAAAGAACCCCTGACCAACTGAACAACAAAAACCAGTAAGACCTTCTCCCACTGGAAGGTCTTTATGCTGGAAGGTTCTTCAGGGACACAATGAACTCTTTTATGTCAAACTGGATTTCCAGTGTATCAAATGCTGGATTTTGCAGAAAACAGGTTGAAAAAAATAACAGAAAAAATAACTCAGCCCCTTAACAGGATCCCAAGAAAGCCACTATCACTGGGAACACAGTCCCTTTTGCAGGAGTTCCACAACACTCCCGCTTCCTTGAATAACTTCTGTTACACCAGGTGAGTACTTAGTTTTTGGCAAAGAAACAGTGCATTTCTGATCAACTGTTCTGTAAGAGAGTGTAAAGCTCAGTAGACATCAGGGTTATTTACACCCATAATCCTCCTGCCTTTGGGCAGTACATCAGTACAGCTTGTGGGGTTGTGCACCACGACAAATCCTGTGAGTCAGACCCAGTGATCGTTTCCCAAATGCTGCTCTGATTCCTGACTGTTCTGACACATCCCTCAACACCATTAATTACTAACTGCAAACAGAAAAGAAACAAACCTCTCAGAAAGGCTCTGATATTTCTCCTGATCCTGTAGAAGCAGAAGGCTCCCAGGTGACCTGAGCCCATCAGAGCAGTTGTGACCTAGAGAGGAAGGGCTTTCTGTGCTGTTACTCAGCGTGCTCCTCACAAGAAGCACATCTGAAAATAACCCAAAGCTGCTTTAGCTGCCTGTCCTACACTCAGAAACGTTTGGGTCTGTCAGGGAAGCAATGTCAGGTTTTGCAGTGCTGTCTGAACACACAGATCTGGAAAGGCTGCCATTACCATACACTGACCATCATTTATGCCCAACAGCTGCAACCATCAGCCTTTGCAGCAGTGACCATTACACGTCCTGCAGTTATATTTGCTCTAGAAGATTCTTCTGGATGCATGCAGAAGCATTTCCCATTCCTGGACGTGCTCTCTTTGTCACCAGGATGCCTCATTTACTCTGCATGGAAGGAGAGGAAAAACTGGCAGTGTCTTCCCTGCCACAAAGGAGAGTGGGAGGGAAAATAGTCATAAATTTAATGGAAAATTTAATTTACTGATGATGCTCTGTCCCCACAGGTACTGGTATATATTTAAGCTTCATGTACCACACTCAAGGATTAAGGCTGTGATTCTGTATCACTTTAATTCAGTCTAAACCCAGACTGCTGATCTGCCCTTGGAGAAAAGTTGAAGCCCCCCCTCCTCACTCAGGTCCCTTGCATAAGCACTAATTTAACAATCTGCAGTGAGGTTCAGGGAACTGATGTGTTTGAAAATACAGAAGTTTTCACACTCAGCTCCTCGAGGTAACTGAAGCAGTTGCAACAGCAGTGCAAGAAAATGGGGGGGGCTAATTTTTCTATTAAATTAATCCGTTAAGTAAGGGCAGAACAAGACTTACCCCTGCAGACAGCAGCAGATTGAAAATCAACTCAGCTGCCCATCAACCAATGAAAACAAAATAAGCTGTGTTCAGGACAAAAAATGCACAACACAGTATTGCCCCCACAGCCTGCTTCTGGTAGATGCCACCTTTCCTTCTGCCACTTGGGGTATTTTACATGGCAAAGAAGCTGGAGCAGAGCATGTCCCCACTTCTCCAGGGTGTAGCACCCTGGAGTCAGCAGGGGTGACACTTTGTGGGTATTTGTTGGACACAGCTTGATGCCTCCAAACTCACAGCAGAGCCTCCAGCTACATCTGAGGAGATCTGAAGAAAGATCTCTCTGCTTACACCCTGCATGTAATGGCAATTTTAATTTGCCATTCAGCTTTGAGGGGTAGTCAGACTGCACCCAAGTTCACCAGTGGGTGTGTTCCAACACAGAGCAGCTCTCCCTTGGCTTGGTATCCACACATCTCCACCATTAAATGTAGGGACAACACATTGCAGCTCGCTGGGCTGCCTTTGTAATAGGAACTCTGCACTGAAGGAGAGTTAAAAACAAAAGATAAAAGCTTGTAATGGCTCCTTGATTAGAAATAAATAGAGGTTTTAAAGTGGCCTCTAGAAAGGAACAAACATCTCCCCCAGTTCTGGTCCTGCCTTCATAGCAACAATCCCTTTATTTATGCTCTAAGGGTAAAACATTTTTATTCAGCAACATACATCCTATTTATTCCTAAATAACAGGAATGCATTCAAAGACTTTACCATTACAATCAAGACCACCTCGAAGAGTAAACTCTAGATTGCTCTGCATGCTCACAGAAAAGAAACAGCAAAATGGCCCAAGTGTAGCAATGAAAGAGGGCAGGGAATGCTGTGGACAATCCCTCCAGGAGCTCACAGGAGCTGTGGCATGAGCTGAGCAGAGACTGCCTGGACAGGATGGGAGGGCCTGTGCCAGCAGCAGGACTGTGATAGACTACGATGAGCGATATTGTTTATCAAACAGGATGTTCTGCTTAAACCGCTAAGCTAAGGCAAATGCTAAGCCACAAAGGATTGTAAAATGCAAGGTATACCTTAAGATTGCCAAATATTCTAAGAACTAAAAGAACAGCCCACATAAGGAAGACGATTGCTGCCAGAGCCAAAGGGCAGAAAAAGGACACCCGAGGAAGACGTCTTACTTCAGCCTCAACGACCACCAGACGGCAGAAGAAGACCCCTTAGCAACAGCCCGAACATGCGCAGAGTACAACCGCATGTTAAGGAAAGCGGAACTAAAAGACCATAAGAAGGGACTTTCCAAGCTGTTGTTTGCGGCAGTTGGTGGAGCGGTGACTCCCCTGTCGCCCAGCGCTGCACTTGCTCATATTCTGCTTGCTGTAACCGAGTAATTAATAAATTCTAATTAGTACTCTGATCCATTGTGGTCTAAATTTATAACAATTTTGGTGCCGTGTGACTCGGATAAGGAACGGTGGGCTGCGGCTCTTCGGGGAGGCGCCCCGCGCTCGTTCGCGGCCCCGTATGAGACCAGCGGCTCAGTGCAACCTTACCGACGAACCTAAATTCGGAATATTGAGCAAAGAAAGAACCGGTCAAATCCCATAATATTTTGTGCACAAAAGTCCGGACGAAGACGCGGGACGCGTAAGTATATTGCGATTTGGTTCGCGGGAATTACCGTTCGGGCGGGATTGGGATTCCTGGAATATAAGGAATGAGAGGCTCGACATATTGAGCCAAGTGAGTGCGGACCCTTTAGTACTGCGATTCCCATCTCCCACGAGGGATTGGGCCAGGAATAAGGGGAGCGAGTGTGTGTGTGGTTGCAGATGTTCCAGAAGATGGGGGTGAAGGGTAGCAAGCCTTCGGCTCCCATGGGATGGGTACCTTCTGTACTTAAAAATACCCCTCTAGCTTATATCTTAGACAATTGGAAACACTTCCCAGGGACAGTAGGGAAAGACAAGCAGAAGATGATAATATATTGTACTAAGATATGGGGAGGAAAGAAAATCTCACAAAATGTCTTCTGGTCAGTTTACGGGTCAGAAAAAGACTGGGTAAGGCAACAGTTAAATCTTTGGGTTAATAATAAAAAGCCCCTTAACTCAGAGGAAAGCCCCCTGGGAGAAAGACAGTCTGTACTAGGCAGCTGCGGCTTTCAGGGCAGAAGGAATCGTGTTAGGGACACATCTACCGCAGAAAAAGAGGAACCTCTGAATGAGGTTAAAAATAGTGAAAAAGAGGAACCTCAGAGAGAGATTGGAAATAGTTCTCTGAAGGAAAGGAAATTAGTGAAAAGCGGCTTTGAGGCTAGGTCGCTGGGGACACCCCCTGACAGTCCCTTGGGAAAACTCTTAAGGAACTGGAGTTGTTATTCCCGCACTTATAAAGGATCCAGAAGTCAAAAAGGGGCCACCCAAATGTATCCCTTGAGAGAAGCACCCATGGGGGAGCCCAACCTACCACAGGGTAAATATCAGTACCCCTGAATTCTGCAGATTTGAGAGAGTTCAAAAGGAACGAGATGGGGAGCTTAATCGAAGACCCTATCGGAGTAGCTGAAAGATTAGACCAACTTTTAGGGCCCAATCTTTACACCTGGGATGAAATGCAATCAATCCTAAACCAATTATTTATTACCAAAGAACGAGACATGATTAGGCAGGCTGGGATGAGAATCTGGGACGCGCAGCACGCCCAGGGACCACAGGCAGATACAAAGTGGCCACTCCAGAGACCTGATCCTAATTGGAATAATCAAGACCCGGCCCACAGAACCCATATGCAAGATTTAAGAACAACAGTGGTTCAGGGTATTAGAGAAGCTGTGCCTCGTGGTCAAAATATTAACAAAGCATTTAACGAAATGCAAAAGAAAGATGAGAGTCCTATGGAATGGCTGGAAAGATTAAGAAAAGCTCTCCAGTTGTATTCAGGTGTCAACCCTGACAACCCGTTGGGACAAGTATTGCTTAAGACACAGTTTGTAGCAAAATCATGGGAGGACATTAGGAAGAAAATTGAAAAGTTAGAAAATTGGCAAGATAGAGGGTTGGATGAGTTGTTAAGGGAAGCCCAGAAAGTGTATGTAAGAAGAGAGGAAGAGAGTAATAAGCAACAAGTAAAGATGATGGTAGCAGCAGTAAGAGAGGACCACAGGGGAATGTTCAAAGACCGTAAATTTTCGGGAATGAGCAGAAAGGAAGAAGTGACGAGACAGGAACAGGGAAGTTGTTTCTATTGTGGGAAAAAGGGGCATGTGAAGAAGAATTGTAGACAGCGGATTCGAGATGAAGAAGTCTTGAAAGCAGAATAGGATAGTCAGGGGCTCTATATTTTAGGGGACCGTAGTCATCCTGAGCCCTTGATAAAATTAAAAATAGGTCCCCATAAGCAGGAGTTCACCTTTTTAGTCGGTACAGGGGCTGAAAAGTCAACAAATAAACAAATCTCTGATGGTTATAAAGCATCATCTGGAAGAGTGCAAGTAATTGGAGCCAAAGGTAAAATTAAAAATGTGATATTTGAAACTGAAAATAAATTCGGCATAGGTGAACTCCTGCTTGTCCCTGAAGCGGAATATAATCTGTTGGGACGAGACTTAATCATAATATTACAATTGGAAATAAAAGTTTAGAATCAAGAACTAAAAATCTCGGCTTAAGAATAAAACCACTATACTACCCGCACGGGTAGTCAGTGAAAAACCATACAGTTTTGGACCACAGGAAAAAGAAAAGTTAAAAGAAATCAGAGCTGCGGAAACTGATGGCAAATAATATATAATATTGCAAATGCGATCACTGCTACCTGTGAAACATGTCAGAAAGTAAACCGTACTAGAATAGGAGGAAAACCTTTTGGAGGACGTTCACTTGCATACAAACCATTTTCAAACATTCAAATTGATTACACAGATTTACCTAAAGTGGGAAGATATAAACATCTGTTAGTGATGATTGACCATTTGACACATTATGTAGAGGCATTCCCTACCTCAAGGGTTACAGCCAACCAAGTTACAAAAGTATTAGAACAAATAATACCTCGATATGGTGTACCTGAAGTCATAGACTCAGACAGGGGACCACATTTTGTGTCAAAAGTCATTAAGGAATTAACAGAAATTTTGGGTATAAAATGGGAATATCACACCCCCTGGCACCCCCAAAGTTCAGGAAAAGTAGAAAGAATGAATGGGGAACTAAAAACAATCCTTACCAAATTAATAATTGAAACTAAAATGTCTTGGGTCAAATGTCTCCCTATGGCCTTGCTAATTATTCGGACAAGGCCTCGGGCAGACTTGAGCATATCAGCCTTTAAAATGATGTATGGAATGCCCTACAGAATTGAGGAACCCCAAAATCATGTATTAATACGCGATAATACTATTAACGAATATGTTTCTCAACTTTCTAAACATCGAAACATGTTATGGAAAAGAGGGCTTATTTAAAGATCCATAACATCGAACCAGGAGACTGGGTAATGGTAAAAACCTGGAAAAGAAGAGACATTAAAGCCTAAACGGGAAGGACCTTATCTTGTCTTGCTTACTACAGAAACAGCAATTCGAACTGCAGAACGTGAATGGACACATGCCAGTCACATCAACGGACCAGTGAATCCCTCACGCTGGAAAATAATCAGCACTCCTGGAGACACCAAACTGGTCCTGAGAAGATAGGTTATGACAGAGACATTGAGCAATTTCTTTGCTGCTAATTTTAATTTTTGCTGCTAATTTTAATTTGAAATTAAGTGTCTACTAGCATTTATGGTGGCATTCATTCTATCTTTGTTTGTGTATTATGTATGGAAGGTTGTGAAATATAGCATATAGGAGACAAATAGACCCAGAATACATTTATAACCGAGATATAAGAGTAAAGTGTAATATACCAAGTTGTAAATGTTATCCATTTATCTGTTTTAAATGTAAAAAGTGCCAAGAGAAATGGTGGAAACACTGTAGATATGGATATCCTCCTAGGGGAATCTGTGATCAGTGCTACCAATCAGAACGAAATTTTACTATTTAGACATTACAACAACTAGAAGAAAGGGGAGTTCCGTGGGGATCCCCCAGATGGTGGAATTATTTCATATTTGGAGTTAACCCTCAATATTTTTGTTTTCACCTAAATGAACCAGCTCCCTTTGTAGTAGATATAGTAAAAGTCCAGTGCCGACGGGACATCAGTGCCTTGCCGTGTAATGGGTACATGGTAAAGGCCGCCTCGTGGTCCGCATATACAGTACGTCTCACTAAAAACAAAGGGCACATTCCTACTTGGGACCCCTGCTGCCGAGAAGATGGATCACCCTGTGTCTCGAAGCAATCGAGTCGACAGGCGAGGCAGAGGAGGAAACCCCGAAAAGAGGAAGAGCCTAAGCCGTGGGACACGCAAGCTGCGATGGTCGAACTCCCCCAGGACTGGTGAAGGTAAAAGGGCTGGTAATATTCAAATTAATAAAAGACACAATAAAGGTCAAAGTTTTTCTCTAGGCACTGTTTACATAATTGCAGTCCCCATGGTACTGTTTGCAACACCTATACATGCAGGGAATCTCCATGAACCCATGATTTGGAAACTTGTTAATTTACAAACCTCAGAAGTGATACAAAATCTGACAGCATCAGGGAATAGTTGGAATTTTACGGTACATCTGTATTCCTTAATACCCTTCAAAGCTGGAGGATGTTATGGGGATAGTTGTTCTGAATTAAGCAAAAAACAAGCTCAATGTAAAGCATTTTATATATGCCCAGCCTCAAATCCAGGAAAAAGTTATTGTAACTACCCAGGACATTTTTATTGTGGATATTGGGGTTGTGAGACTATTGCCTCTGATTGGCCTACACCTGGAGACAAACATATTAATGTAGCCTGGGGACCTCCTGGTTGTACTAAACCAAAACATAATTATGCAGGGGGAGTGCAAGGATCATGTAGAAAACCAGTATGTGAGCGACTTGAAATAACAGTCAAAAACCCACAAAATGATGAATGGCTAGTAGGAAAAGTATGGGGCATTAGATTCTGGGAACCAGGGAAAGATAGAGGAAGCTTCTTTAGAATTACTAAAGAAAAAGCTCCCTATGACCCCCTCCCAGTAGGGCCAAACCCAGTTTTAAATCCTCTTACTCCTAAAAGGAAAACTATTTAGTCCTTTTCCTCGGACATCACGACCCCTAATTTGAAAAACAGCACAAACGTTAGTGCAACTGAGCTCCCCATGCTTAAGCTGTCTAAGCCTAAAGAACCCCTATAGGACTTGATGCAAACCTCTTATCAGGCCCTTAATAAAAGTAAACCAAACCTTACATTAGATTGTTAGCTATGTTATAATGTCAGGCCGCCTTATTTTGAGGAAATAGGAAAACCTAATAAAGTCCGATGGTCAAATGGATCAAATCCTCTAGAATGTAAATGGGAAGAACAGAAAAATCATACCCAGGGGATAACAATACAAATGGTGACAGGCAAAGGTAGATGTATCGGAACTGTTCCTACTAGGTACCAACCTTTATGTAATGAAACTATCTCTAGTTGGGCCATAAGACAACATAGAAATAAAAATGACAAATGGGTAATACCATCAGGAGGAGCGAAATGGGTATGCTCAGACATAGGAGTAACTCCATGCCTATCTCTCAATGTCTTTAATGAAAGTGTATTTTGTATCCAAGTAATAATTATACCTAGGATCATGTATCACACCTCGGAAGAGGTATTTCGACATTTTGAAGGGGAACTTCCCAGACAAGTCAGAGAACCCGTTACCGCGATAACTATAGCAACCTTGTTGATTGGAGGTGTAGGAACTGGAATAGCTTCTTTGGTAAAGGGAAAAGAAATACAAAATTTACAACTAGCTGTTGATGAAGATTTGGCAAGAATAGAGCAATCTATACAAAACTTAGCTACATCTGTCAGGTCGCTATCGGAAGTCGTTCTACAGAATAGAAGGGGACTAGATTTATTATTTCTAAAAGAAGGGGGATTATGTGTAGCCCTTAAAGAAGAATGCTGCTCCTATGCTGACCATACAGGGGTAGTACAAGACGCTATGGCAGAATTAAGGAAGCGGTTAGAACAAAGGAAGAAAGATAGGGAAACCAATCGATCGTGGTAAGAAAACTGGTTTAATGTTTCACCATGGCTAACTACTCTACTTTCTACCTTAGCAGGACCGATAATCATGATCATATTAGGACTAATGTTTGGACCATGCATTTTAAAGTATATTTTGTGCTTTATTAAAGAACGCTTTGAAATTGCAAAATTATTAATGCTTACTTCTGGGTATAATTCGAGGTACAGTGTTGTAGCTACTGATGAGTCTGATAATGATTGTGAAATAATGCCTTATGCATACGATAATAATTGTAAACAAGAGAGTAAAGTTTGATAAACAAATTTCAATTATGAAAAGAAAAAGGGGGGACTGTGATAGACTACGATGAGCGATATTGTTTATCAAACAGGATGTTCTGCTTAAACCGCTAAGCTAAGGCAAATGCTAAGCCACAAAGGATT